TGATGCATGTTTGACTTTTCACACCTCAGATCAGCATCAAGTTTAACAGTTTCTGCATGGTAGGCATGAAGCCAGATCTGTTATGTATGAATGTATGCATGTATCTCACAACATGCTTTCAATATTTACTCTAATAAGATCTTTTAACTACATTTATTTCAGAACTAGCCTAGTGGAACATTTATATTTACTACTGAGTTAAAGCGAGTTTGACATGAATCTTGCATTACTTGTTAACACACAATAATCTTGTGTTTAAGATATTTATAAATAGATATGTAGATGGCAAAGGAAATAGATAGTGATCAGCTGAAGTCATCTCAGAGACATACAAAACCTGAGATACTGAGCTCACACACTGAATTATGCATTCTGAAAAGAGGTAGTATTTAGACACTTCTGCATGACAAGTCACACAAACAACTGTTCCATATCATTATGCATTTCTGTCCTGGCCCCTACACACTGCTTCCCACAGTCAAGGAACAGTGGCCAAGCATGACATTGGCCTACTATCTCCTAACCCTTGTTTGGTAACTAGAACATAGCTGCAAAACCTCCACAAATGCAGCAAAGAAAAGGCTAAAAGACTTGAGCTAGCTTGTTTTGCACTGAGCTTTTGTGATCTGTCAGTAACTTCAGCTAACAGATTTGTTAGACATATAAAACCTCACCAATTCCTGCTTCAGAAGACTTGCTTCAAATTACTAACCATCACTGTTAACAAAAGGCAGTCAGGAGCTATGAACCCATTAATGGTCAGTTGGTTATCTACAGATTCTTTACTGATTTAATGATTCAAGAGAAAGCAGCACATTTGAGGCCTCTTGGCAACAGTTTTTAAAAAATGTTTTGCTCCAATCCAAGATTGATGTAAGTCACCCAAAGACATTTTCCATGTATCAGAAGAGAGCCTGTAATGGCAGAGAATTATATTAAAAAGAATCAGCTCTTTCATCACTCCCTGTTCTTAAAATTCATGTGTAGAAAAGCAATAATTCACATCACTTTCCTGTCATATACTAGAGACTTAATTCTGAAATAATTTACAGATTTAAAACTCATATTTTCAGGTAAGTTTACAAAATATTTACCACACAACAGAAGCATTTATAACCAAGCCAGTTCTTGGGTTTGCATCTTAAGATGTTTAAAACATCTTAAGTGAGGCAACAAAATTCAATTACCAACAGGATAAACACAAATATGAAATCTAGAAATTGTGTTGTTAGACATTGGGCAGTAGTTTTTCCACATGACTAAAAGAAAGGAATTAGGCAGAGCTGTTGAAAGGCTGAGCCAAAAAATACAGAATTAGTTAATGAAGTCATAGCCTTATCACTTGATTTTTTAATTATTTTTTTTAAATACAGGTAAAGAATAGTTTTCAAGACTAAGAAAATCCTTTCATCTGAGTAGCTAACTGCTACAGTTGGCTTTCTATGCTAAAGACAACTTTTTAGATCAAATCTAAACCTTACATATCAAATAGTTATTTAGAAACAAAATCTGCATCAATTTGCCTGTGACAGTTTAAAGTTCAACTCCTTTTACATAGGACACAAATACTGCTTTTCTGCAATTTCAACACACTTCCAGACAAATCAAATCAGTTAAATAATTTTAAACTTTTGCCTTAACATAGTCCTTGAGCAAATATTGATGCCACCACAATCATTGCTTCCATCATATAATGAGTTTCAAGATATCTAATCTCACAAACTGACAAAGTATTATTAGAGAAGAGAGTTATAAGCCTCTGTTGTAGTGCACAAAATATTTCAAATAAGTCCTGTTTGAGAAGTTAGTTATCCTTACAGACAGATCTTAATCCCACAACATAAAGTACTATAAAATTTTTATTTATTAGGTTTATAACAGCTCCATGACTTGAGAATGTAGAGACTTTAGTTGTGGTATGTGTTGTGGTGCTGCATGCCTCTGCCACCCAGGACACTAATTTCTCTGATCTGAGAAATGCTCATTATGCCCTGGCCTTGATGAACTGCACTTGGACTAAATTCCCCTTGAGCTTATCAGAAACCCTGTCTGTTCCCAGGAACTAACAGGTGTCTAATGAACATCTGCTTTTAACAAACAACCTTGGAACTTTTTGTTTGTTTTCAATAACAACACAAGTGGAATAATATTTTTGTTGCTGAACAGTCAAAAAAAGTTACCGACTAAAATTGGCCGAAATGGAAAATTACTGCAACTGAAGCCCACTCTCTTGCCTACCCTATAAACAGTGGTCCAAAGTGAGACGTTTTTCAGCTCCTGGTTATAAGAGGCTAATGTGTATTAAAGCCCATTGTCTGACAGCCCTATAAACAGCAGTCCACAGTGAGATCCCTTTGATTCCCAGAAGATAAGGGACTAATGTGTATGTCTCAAACACAGATAACTGGATGGCTGTGGAGCCAGCCAAGGACTGTTATTACTAACAGACAAGAATTGCTGATAAATCCAAGGACTATTGGTATTAACACACCATGAGAAAGAACAAGGTTTGGCTGGAGAAGGGGGGGGTCAAGTGAAGATAAAGAGGCACTTTTCCTTTCACAGTACAATGCAGGAATGAGTGGCAGGAAGTGGACACGGACTATAGGGTGGGATTAAAAGCAGGAAAGACCTCCAAAGCCCCCTGACACATTTCCAGAAAGGCCTGACAGAATGGACTGTGCATAATTAATTTACATCATGAACACTCTTCTTAATAAACTTAGTTGTATATAGCATAAAACTGACCAAAGAAAAGCCCATTTACTTCAGATTCATACAGCATATTGAAACTATTAGGTATAATGAATTACAAAGAACTAAGTGTTAAAAAGGCCCCTATTTAGAATTATTCAACCGTGATTTTTTTGCATTTCAAGTTCCAGTCAAAATATTTACCTGATAATGAAATTATATGTTATTTTATGAATTTTTGTTTTATGAACTAGTCAAAAAAAAAAGAATATTTGAAAACATTTAACAGCCCCACCATGACCTTAGTGGCTATGACAAGGTACAGATCTGGCAATCTTAAGTGTTCTGGCTAACTCCATATGTTATTATAACAGATGTTTTAAAATTAAAATTGCTAGAAGAATAAGCCCTTGTCTCAAGCTATGCTTACACCACTCATGGTAACTGTGGTGCTCTCGTTACCTACCTTGGCAAGACAGGATTAATAACTAAGTCAGCCACTAAAGCAACATCAGTGACCAAGACTCCATTCCAGCCCCACTCAACTCCCTGTGATGGATTTTGCTACTGACATCATTATATTCACAGAAAAAGGATAGTTTAAAACTTTCACTTTACTTAACCAAAGACACAACACATCTAAAACTCTACGCCAGCCTACAACAGATTTACACACAATCAGAATCAGGTATCTGTTTTAGAGCATTAGTTAGAAGCTCATTTTTAAGTGTTGTTTCAGGATACATATCCCACTTTTACACTGACGCTTAAGTAGACACTACAAATAAGAGAAAAGTCACTAAAAAAAGGACGTTTTTTAGGACCTTTTCTTTAAAAAAAGGGGGGAGAAGTAGAAAATTCAGTTTTGACACACTACTGTATCTCTTACATTTGGACTCATTAAATTAGTGGCTACAAATTGCATTTCCCTCCATTTGCCTTCTATACTGCATAAAGGAACACTGCCACTCCTTTGGGGCAGAAGATTTGCCCCAGTCAACAAAGCTTCCTGTTTTCTGTACAACAGTTCAGAATCACAGAATTGTCTGGGCCTGAAGGGGTTATTAAAGATCACCTAGTCCAACTCACCTCCTGTGGCCAGAGACATCTTTCAGTAGGTAGCTGAGCAAAGCCCCATCCAACCTCTTCTAGAACACTTCCAGGGATGAGGCACCCACTACTTTTCTGGGCAAGCACTTACAGTGTCTCATCACACTCACAATGAAGAATTTCTTTCAATATCCCATCTAAACCTACCCTCTTTCACTTTAAAGTCATTACCCCTTGTTCTATTCCTACAGGCCCTGGTCGGATTTTTATGCACAGTGATCACAGAAACAATTTCAAAAGGGAATTAGAATCACTTAATCCTCTACACAAAGAAACCCCAGTAATCTGCATTTATGTTGTTCCTGGTGAATTTGTTCATAACCTACTCTTTAAAACTACTAGGGTATCATTTCACCCACCCAACAGTTTGTTTGGCACTTGGCATGACACTACATTAGGAGGTATTAGATAAGTATTTAACTTTTTCTATTGCTATCTATTACTTAAAATATATTACCTCCTGCCCTACTCAAAAGAAATACAAGTGACAGATTATTTTGTGTTCTTGCTAGTATCTTCTGAGCTCCCCAAGCAGCCCATCTCTAATGCATACTGTTGAAAAGCAAACACAGCATTCCAGCTGAGACTTTACATGTACTGGAAAAGAAGGAATGCCTCCTAGAAGGGAGGGAGTAGTTGCTTTTAAAACAAAGGACATGTTTTTCAGAAATTTACTCAACTGACTTTTAGAATTTAATCTTAAGTGTCTCTCTAGTTTGCTTGGAATTCTATTACTTGAGTATAAAAATTTTTAGTCAAAATACAGGTGGTTTTCAGACACTCTGATACAAACAAGAGCTCTAACATTGCAGAATCTTGCTTTGCCATCAAGGGAGAAAAAATTCCAGGTAAAAAATTGACCAGTTTTCCTGGTTGTCTTTTTGGTGCACACACTTTCTCTTGTCTCAAAATTCCTCTGAAGACATACATTCAAATTACTCTGCTCCTCCACCTTTTAAAGATATGAAAATTGATGTTCAACGATGCAACACAAAGTGATAGAAAAGGTATCTCAGTTTAGGTCACTAGTGTGTCTTATTCACAGCTACTTTGGGGCCCAACAGATTGAAACTCAAACCCAGTGTAAGCTCAGTTTCAATTATGTACCAAGTTATGACTTGGACTGCATCAGTAAGATCTGATCTCACAATAGCACGTGGTGTGCTAAGGGCACTGCAACAATAACCAGTCCCTACCGTTCCCGGTTAAATTTGAGGGAATGAAGGATAGCCGGCCTCTTCTGGCGCAAGTTCCACAGGTGTAAGGTGTCATCAGCCAAGGCACTCACTAGAGCTCCCTAGGAGAACAAAAACATTTTAGTCAGCCTGTTTTCAAAGCCCTAGGAACAGTGTAGCATCACAGTGGAAATGCATTACATATTTATTACCAGGATGAAAAAAAAACATGCAAGCATGTGCATCAGTACCATAGCACAGCTAAGTTCTAAGCAGTAGGAATGAGATAAGTGATGTGATCACATGTTCAGCTCACTCATATTTGGTTCAGTGCTATACTGAGAGGTGATGGGGAAGGAGCTTTTTCCAGTGTGTGCTCATCAGTTTCCTCATGCCCATCTCTGCAGAGAAATCAGGCAATGAACTGCTAATATCTGCGTGCTGACAAAGCTAGCGAGATCCCTCTAAAAACCTGTCTCTAGCTCAAGAATAGCACTGCTGTCAAATCTCAGCTGCTACATCCCTAGAAGCACATCTGAAACTGAGGCAACATTATTCAGTTCATGTCTAAGACAGTAACTTGATCAAAATAAAACTAACTACCTGGTTACTACTACTACCGAAACTGGTAGTACTGTGTAAATAGTACTTCACCACTTCCAGAGATAACTTGCAATGCTCAAGGATATGAAAAGATATCCTAGCTCTTGCTTATACCAAAAGAGTACTCCTTTGACAAAGATATTTTCAGGAGTTAGTCAAGCATTTTCCAAAGCTAAAAAATTTATTTTATTTATAATTGTTATTGCAGTTTGTTATTTGTACTACACCACTTTTATCAGCTAATTGTAATGTTTGCCTAAAGAAAAATTAAAGAAAATGTGCTCCATTTCTTCTCTGAATTACACATAAATCATTTTACTAACCTCATTAATCAGGAACTGAAGTTGGATTACTGCAGCTCCACTGTCATGTTGACAGTAGCATTCAACTCCTGGCCGACCAAAGCTGGAATTAGTACCATTAAGGAATAATTGTTGCATGTAACAAACAAAACACACAGCATAACCAACATTTTCACTTTCACTAATACCACATTCACACAGGCTAACATCCTGCTTCTAGCTAGTGCACTCAACATATCTAACCACACAGAGCTGCATAAGTACCAAAACAGTCATTTATAAATGCAACAAAGTAACACAAAAAATTCAAAAGGCCTACCTTGAAATTTAAAAAATTATCTATAACTACTTAATTTACAGAGATTTAAGGATTATTCATCACGAAGAACTTGAAGAATGATGAAGCAGTTATTTTAACAATGTTAATTATCAGGACTAGAATGAAAGGAAGTTAATCTAAATAAGCATCATAAACAAATTATTACATTTTTCAAATGCCAAAGGATCTTTCTCTCCATTTAAACATTACTTAAGGAAGAAAAGGTCTGAAAATGCAAGGCACATTAAAAAAATCTGCTGTGACAGAGATGAGATCAGTAGTCAAAATATGGAGGAGTCAATGGGAAATTATGTATAATGTAAATTTTCAGGATCTCTGTATCAAGACTTCCTGGATTCACACCAGCTATGAGATAGCAAAAGCTTGCTCATTTTCACCGTCACACATAGAGCAGTCCTATCGTTCCATAACGAATATTGCTGGAGGCTGCAGGAAAACAGATTCTTTCACTTCTCCATACTTAACTCATTTTTTAGTTGCAAGCATTCTGTATTTTAAATGTGGCTATGCACCTGCTTCTGATACAAAATTAAGTTCTCCATTGTCTAGGAGGTCAAGCAGAAATCAGAAAGGTATTAAGCAAACTGAAAGGAATTAAGCAATGATGGTATTTCACCATCATTGTTATGCTCAGGGTTTCTGACTATAATTTTTCAGTGCTGAACACTTCTTATTTTAAAGAAACATCTCAGCATTCAGAAGAAAAAAAATTATTCCAAAGCTTTATGGAAAACAGGGACTATATGTACAATTTTTTCTCTCAGTATATGCTAAAAATTAATAAAACAGTACAGTTCTCACCCATTTTGCAAGCTTTCCATTTACTGAGAAACTGCTGAACAAAACCTAAGTGGATAATATGTACATTCTTAAAAAACATGTGCATTCACTCTACAGACAGTTGAAAGGCTGAAAAGACTATTAGGCTGCATGCAAATCAAACCTCAAACACATCTCCTGCTCAGCCTCTAAGCTGGTAAAGCAAAAAAGTACAACAGCTGGGAGAAGTCTGCTTTAACACACTGCTATATTTTAACTTTTAAACTTGAATCACATTCTTCTAGACTAATAAATCTTCATAACATCCAGCTAAGTGGTGAGATACACACTAGACAGATGCTGCATAATCCACCAAACTTAATACCAGCTTTCTTCCCCAAACAGAATTAGTAATTTAATTTTGTTCTGCCAGGGAAGGACTTAAAGAGTCAGCGAGCCTCACCTGTTTTCTTGCTTTTATTTTACATTTTACAAAAATAATTTTTTTTACAAAGAAGTTGTCTGTATTCTAGTCACAGTTTATGGCTTAAAAAAGAAAAAGAGTGGTGGGGGTGTTGTCCCCATAAACAATGCCTTCCTACACAAACTCACAATACTTTTAATGTAAAGTCATTGCTTTTACATTAACTATGGATTGACTGCACAAATTGCCAGACTGAAAGAACCCACAAGAAATAAGATATGTTTCAGAGCTGACTGCCTTTAGCCTTGCTCATGCATTTGCATTTGCTTGAATTAATAATTATTTGCACAAGTAGACAAAAACTATTTTCAAATCTAAAAATCAAATGCTTACAGGAATTGAATTTTAAAACTTGTTTATCTTCACTGACACAGGTAGCTTTCTAATAAAAGATTTTCCCAGCCCCTCCCTGGAACAACATTTTCCAACATAATTAAATGCAAACCTTGTTTGTAAACCTGGAGTTTATTTGGAATTAAGACTCTACAGCTACCTTGCTTCAAAATAAGAGGAATATGACCCAGAAAAACATAAGTCCACAGACTGCTCAAGTTACTTCTTCCTTCAAATTCTATTCCTCAGATGCTTTCTGCAAGCACTTCTGATGCTAATGTTTCTGGAAGCACTGTTATAACTAGTCAGTAAAAATTTCATTATTAAGAATATTTCAGTGTTTCCTTACACAAAAAATTCTTCCACATTTTCCAGGAATCAGTAAATATGCAGCACTGGGAGTAAGATTACACAAGTTTTAAATATTCAGAGCAAATCTCTCTTCGACAAATTAGTGGAAACTTCGCATCCAGATGTGAAAATAGTTTGGCCTTTTCTATAGTGCTCGCCATCATTAAAAAAAATAGTCCTTGCAGTTAGTCTTATTTAGTTCCTTCACTCAAGGATTATGTCATCTTCACTTTTTCACCTAGTAGCTAAAATTATTCTTCTCATCTCAAATTAATATCATCCTCCTAACCAGCATTAATCTTCTTTTCTAAAGCAATGCAAAGCCTCCCTGTTTTGCGGGGTATGCTGAATTGAAAAAGCACGTCACAAAGGCTGACTGCAGAAGGATAATACATGCCTGCTTCAGTACATGAAGCATTTCTCAACCACACAAAACAGGCAGCAGCCCAGGGAATGCAGTTTGCCCGAATCCGCTGCACTTGTGTATGTGTGCTTTAGGCAAGAGTGCTCACTGTACTAAGCAGTGATCAGCCACTACATCGTCGTTCCCAAAACAGGCAAAAATTATAATGAATAATGACAAGATGAGCAAAGCATTTTAATTTTGTAGACAGGAAAAACTCTCTGCCAAAGACCTTGGGTAGCTCTAGAGGAAATACTCTGCTCTGAGCAGTTTTCTAATCAAAGACCCATGCCTGCTTCTTCAATTCAGAGCAGCTCATTCCACTATTCCTGCTTCATCCCCAATTCAAAATATTAAGGAATTGGATAAATTAATAGCTTCTAAACTGTAGCTTTGAATATTGCTTCCAAGTTCCCCACTGCCATTTGGAAATTAACCCTAGAAAGCACTAGCATTTCAGTGTTTTCACTGCATATGTTTTGAGAAAACAAGAGACAACAGCTGCGCCTGAGACAAGTCCAACATCTGATCAATCACCACCTTATCAACTACAACTACTAAGTGCCACGTCCAGTCTTTTCCTGAACCATCCTCCAGGGATGGTGACTCTATCACATCCCTGGGAAGCCCATTCCAACATTTAGCCTTTTCCATGATAGAATTTTTCCTGGTATCAAAACTAAACCTCTCCTGGCACAGCTTGAGGCTATGTTCTCTTGTCCTGTCATCAGTTGCCTGGGAGAAGAGGCTGATCCCCACCTGGCTACAGCCTCCTTCCAGGCACTTGTAGACAACAGTAGGGTATCCTAGGTCCCTGAGCCTCCTTTTCTCCAGGCTAAACACTCCCAGCTCCCTCAGCTGCTCCCTGTAGCCCTTGAGGACAAGTCCTTCTCTGGACACACTCCAGTACCTCAATGCCCTTCTTGCAGTGAGGGGCCCAGCACTTGAGGGGTGAATTCATCAGTGCTGGGTACAGGGGGACAATCCCTGCCCTGGCCCTGCTGGCCACACTGCTGCTGATACAGGCCAGGGTGACATCGGCCTTCCTGGCCACCTGGGCACACACTGGCTGATGTTCAGTTGGCTGCCAAAAAGCACCCCCAGGTCCCTTTCCATTGGACAGCTTTTGAGCCACTTTTCCCCAAGCCTTCAGTGTTGCATGGGGCTGTTGTGATTGTAGTGCAAGCCCTGGCACTCGGTCTTGTTGAACCTCATAGCACAGGCCTCAGTACATCAATCCAGCCTGTCCAGATCCCTCTGCAGAGCCTTCCCACCCTCCACCAGATCAGCATTCTCATGTAACTTAGTGTCATCTGTGAACTTACTGAGAGTGCACTCAATCCCCTCATCCAGATCATGAATATAGGTATTAAACAGAACTGGCCCCAACACTGAGCCCTGAGCACTTGTGACTGAACACCAACTGGATATGACACCATTCACCATCACCCTCTAGTCTGGCCACCCAGGGAGTTTTTAACCCAACAAAGAACACCTGTCCAACCCACAGGCAGCCAGTTTCTCCAGAAGAATGCTGTGGGAAACAGTCAAAGGCTTTACTAAAGCCCAGGTAGAGACATCCACAGCTTGCCCCTCATGCATGTCACCCAGTTTCCTAAACCAGACTGGCTGGGCCTGACCCCTTGGCTCTCCTGTAAGTGCCATGTGATCACACTCAAGATAACCTGTTCCAGAACCTTCCTGGACAGTTAGGTCAGGCAAACAGGCCTGCAGATCCCCAGATCCTTCTTCTGGCCCTTCTTGAGGATGGACGCTACATTGGCCAACCTCCAGCTGACCTTCTTGGGTAGCCAGGACTGATGATAAATGACAGAGAGCAGCTGTGTGAGCTCTTCCAACAGCTTCCTCAGCACACTTGGATGAATCCCATCCAGTTCCATAGACTTATGAGTGCCTAAAAGGCTCAGCAGGTCACTAGCTACTTCATCCTGGATTACAGGGGTTCTATTTTGCTTCTTGTCCCTGTCTTTCAGCTGAGGGAGCTGGTTACCCTGAGGTATACACACACGTTTATAATTTTAAATTATTTTCCAAACTCTCACCACACAGATATCGGCTTCTTTATTTATTACAATGTAATAAAAAGTCTTGATAATACAGAAAAGACAGACCAGGTATCAGATTTGCTACTGTTACAATAGCTCATGAGTATTAAGACAAATCTGAAAACATAGCTACTTTTAATATTCATTCCTAGATACTTCTCAAAACTATAGCTGTAACACCTACCAGTACTTAAACATTTGAAAATTTTGACAAAAAAGATCATTGGCTAGAGAAAGACATAAACCACTGATTTGAATTGTATACAAAACACTAAAATCAGCAGATTACTCAATGTATTCTTATGTATAGCACTCTAGGAGTGCATGACATACCTGCATATTTTACTACAGTAATGTATGTGTAGCA